CCCTCATTGTGATACAAGAAAACCCAAGAACTTTCCCAAGTCTACACCGAACGCGCATTTCTTTGGGTTCATCTTCATTCCGTACCGTCTAAGTATGTTGAAAGTTTCTTTTAAATGAATGATGTAATCTTCTCCCCCTTGGGTCTTGATCAGCATGACGTATATATATACCTCCATTGTTTTGCCGAGTTGGTCTTTGAACATCTTTGTCACCAATTTTTGAACGTGTTTTTTTCCTAATCTTCTTCTTCCATGAGGATGTCATTATAGCCTGAGTAAGCATCCAAGAAACACACTAGCTCATGCCCGGTCATTGCGGCAATGAGTTGGTGGATACGTGGCAATGAAAATGAATCCTTCAGGCATTCTTTATTCAAATCTGTGAAATCCACGCACATCCGCCATTTCCCATTCTTCTTTTTGGCCAACGCTAAGTTGGCGATCGATTCCCTGATGGAACAATTTTCTAATAGTTTTTCCACATCCTCACGCACTGCATCATTAATTGTGGAGTTGAATTTATGTTTGACATGTCTCACTGAGGGGTGGAATGGGTAAACGTTTAATTTGTGCCTGGTGATTTTCTTTGGGATGCCCGACATATCTACATGGCTGAAAGCGAACAAATCTTCGTTAGGTGTTAAGAATTGACTGAATTTACCTAGTTTTAGAAGCCTGCAGCGGATATAGGACTTCTTGTTGTAGTCGTTAAGATCCAATTGAATGAAATTGGGGTCTTCTATGGTCGACCACTAGCTTCGACTATGTCAGGGTCGTTCGTGACGTCCTATGTCTCCTTTTGCTCCGACCTCAACCCTGTTTATTGCTATGCCTCTTTTTCTTTGTCTTTTCTCTGTTGGGTCACCGTTATATTTAAGGCAATGCAGTCGCATTCCCATGATGTGTGATGTTCTCTGCATATGCTAAAAATCCCCTATGGAGTTGGGAATTGGATTAATTGTTATAAGCTGGAGGGGACAATTTTCATGGGACGTATCCATGGTCGTCCTACTGTAACGTTGTATGAAGTGGCCTGGTCCATGATGCGGAATGTTGTCCCCAGAGTTACGCCGCTGGCTAAAATAGCGAGTGTAATTTCCCCGGAGGTCCGTTCAACTGCATTGTTAAAACCAACTAGCGTGATGCAACACGACACTATCTTACCTTCGAGTCTCATTTGTGCAAGTACTCGAGGTCCGTTCAACTGCATTGTTAAAACCAACTGCATTTGTGCACGCGCCGCTCCCGTCATCAACCATAATTCATTTAACATCAGTATCTAAAATTCGTAAAGTAATAATGAGGGCGTCACTATGAAGAAAAGTCAAACTGTCGGCATCCGACTTGTCGAAGATGATACTTTCTTTGAGTTCATCGTACCATTCGCGGGTTATATATCGCTTGAGTTTGTGGGTAGTGGTAAACTTTATGCTGTTGATAGAGGCATCATCACCATCGTCGATAATCATGTTGATGGTGTGAGCTGGTGAGGGCGACTTTGGCGGTCATTGGTGTTCGCGTCCTCTGGCAAAATTGGTTCTTCCCATGTCGCTTAGCAGCTATTTGAGGTGCCTTTGTCACAACATGTTTATAGCTTCTTGTCTGAGGGCGATCCAATCTTCATTTTTGTGCCCTCGTTCTTGGTGAAACTCACAGAGGGCGTCGTACTTCCTGGTGGTCGGGTCTGATCTCATCTTCGGTGGCCATTTCACTTTCGATCTGAACTTCTCCAGGGTGTAGAATATCTCTGTAGGTGACACACAAATATTTTGAGTAGATAATAAGGGAGGCATACCTCTTTTGTTCCGATGAGTTCCTGTCCTTGGCGTGGATGTGCCTTCTTTGTGGGGGGGGGAGGCACATCGGCCATCCTAATATACGGTTGATGTCGTTCTTTATTAGGTCACACAATTGGATGATCCTTTCTAGCACTGTCTCTTTGATTTTTTCGGGATTCAGCTTGTACTGAGGTTAGTCGGTGAGTTGGCCCGTTGAGGTCGTCCTCATCTGTAAGGACCTCGGCACAACAACTAGAGGCATCTCAGCTTGTTGGGAGAGCCTTGCACTGAGAAATGTCTCCGCTTGTTGGGAGAGTTTTGCACTGAGGAATGTAAAGCAACATCTGTTTGGGAGTGATTAATTAAGACCGTAATCGTTCCAGAAGCCACATGAGCAATACGTTAAAATATTCAAAGTAATAGCAAATGAAATAAAAGCATGCCCAAGAGATACTCTTGACTGCGAAGCTAAGTTGCGGCCATCTATTGGCAGAACATCGGTGACGAGGTTTGCAACTGTCTATTCTGGCATCAGTTGTGATGGAACAGCAATGTGAATTGCTTTGTTTGCAAAGTTTGTAGTTTGCTATAGACACGGCTCCGATTGGGGAAGCCGACGTTCGATTGGTACAGGGTGCTCCGATGGATTGATCTTGTTGAAGTCTTTCTCACAGCCTATTGTCTATTTCGTAGCAACATCCTTTTTCAGCAGCTTGAAGATAAGCTCGCAAATTACCGTATACTGGGCTATGAATCTGCTGATGTAATTTAGCCTGCAAAGGAAACTCAACACATCCTTCTTGTGTTTAAGCGGCGGTAAGTTTTGAATGGCTTGGATCTTTAAATGATCCAATTATATCCCTTTCATTCTTACAACAAAACCCCAACAGTTTTCTGGCAGGGACTCCGAATGCACATTTTGCAGGATTCAACTTTAAACTATACCTCTGCAAGCTTTCGAAAAACTTCTTCAAGTGATCCAAATGTTTTGCACTCTTTCTAGATTTGATAATGACATCATCCACATATACCTGTGGATGATTTCATTATGTGGTTCACCGAGCACTGTCAGGTGGAACTCTTATCTTGGCATAAATGGATGGAAGAGTCAACACAAAGCCCATCAACTCAGATGCAATCAAGAGATACTATATTTGAAGATAAATAGAGTTAGGTTTTGTTGTAACAGAACTACGTTCAACCTGACTTCCCACAGACGGATACTCAGGCTACCCACGTAGGATTCAGTTTCTCTCCCCCTTTATCTTGTAATAGAAAAACAAAATATCACTTTTGTATGTTGCTAGGGAACTACGCCGACTTGATTTTCTCAGAAAGGAATACATAGGCAATCCTCATCGGATTCAGTCGTCTTATATAATAGAACTACCTTTTGGCCTGATTCCATTTGGATACTTAGGCAGTCTGAGTCTGACTCGGCTATTTTCATTCTTAATCTCATCATTTTGTATCTGTTGTAATCGAACTACACTTTGACCTGATTCCATTTGGATACTTAGGCAGTCTGAGTCTGACTCGGCTATTTTCATTCTTAATCTCATCATTTTGTATCTGTTGTAATCGAACTACACTTTGACCTGATTCCATTTGGATACGTAGGCTGCCTGAGTCAGGATCGGTCATCTTTATCATATTTTATCATTATCCACAAACTACGTTCAGACCTGATTCCGTTTTGGATACGTAGGAAACCTGAAAGGGTTCGGTGATAACCTTAGGAAAACCTTGTAATGCATTAGTTCGAATTAGGATACAGTAGCGATAGCAAGCAACCGCATTTTCGGAAGCATCACGGAAAATCGACATCAACCGGACAATGTTTTAAAGAGGATACACTCGCGTGTGGAGAACCTTTCGTAACATGTCATAATCTGGAATGCCGGCAGTTGTCATAAAAACAACGTATTTTTAAAATGTTTTCTAAAATATATATCCATTAATTTGTTCTATCTACTGAACTTCGCGGCGCAATCATGTCAAAGGCCGGAGCAAACCAAAATTGTGGTCGACGCAAACCAACTTTCCCGCCCCCACTAAGAATTTTTCTTTGAGTGCAGGATCAAAATGGAGCAAGGAAGCGCTAAGACTACACTGGGGCAAATGACAGATCCACCATTTGCCTAAGATTATCTCTCTTCATCCTTTACTTGAATTTTTCTAGTTTAGCTAAAGCTAAGCTTTGGATCCTTTGCAGGTACCTCGGAGTCAGACCGCTGATATGAAAAACATGTACATAGGAAACCGCCTACTCAAATAATCGGGGCATCTTGTACAAAACGGACCGTCGGCTTCACCAATTGAAGCCCTGTATATAGCAAACTGCCCGCTCAACTAGTTGTAGCACCCTGTACATATGTACTGTCGGCTTCACCAACTGAAGTCTTGTATATAGAAAACTGTCATCAATTGTCAAATCCACCGGTGTTGGTTCCTCCCAAGCCTCAGAAGCCACTATTATTATATTTATCAGTTTTGGATAATGCATTTGGGTGCGTGTTGGGACAACACGATGAGATCGGGAGGAAAGATCAAGCTATCTACTGCTTGAGCAAGAAGTTTACACCATGTGAATCCAAATACACTCTGATAGAGCATACCTACTGTGCTTTGACTTGGATCATACAGAATTTGAGGCACTACGTGTCGGCAAACACCACATATCTAATATACCGGCTTGACCCACTCGCGTATATCTTTCCGAATCCGATGTCTACATGGAAATTGGCCAAATGGCAGATTCTTCTCAGTGAATTTGACATTGTGTACGTAATGCAGAAGTACATCAAAGGACAAGCCTTAGCTGACCACCATGCAGAGAATCCAGTGGACAAGGATTATGAGCAGCTCATTACATACTTTCTAGACGAATAACTATTGTTCGCCAGAGAAGACATTGCAGAGTCATACCCATGATGGAGAATGTTCTTCGATGGAGTAGCAAACTTCAAAGGAGTAAGAATTTCGGCAGTCTTAATTTCAGAATCTGGATAACATTATCAGGAATCAACAAAGATAATGTTCCCTTTAACCAACAATATGGCCGAGTACGAAGCATGCATCCTCGGGATTAGGATGGCGGTCAACATGAATATCTAAGAGCTTCTAGTCATAGGAAATTCTGATCGGTTGATACATCAACTTAAAGGAGAATGGACTACCAAGAATGTCAAGATCCTTCTTTATCTGCATTGCATAACGGTTATGTGCAAGAAGTTCACAAGGATAGAGTTCAAACACATTCCCAGGATCCAGAATGAGTACTCATTCCATGTAGATGACGATCTGGACGGCAAGTCATGGTACTACAACATCAAAAGGTTCCTTAGAACAAGAGAGTACACAGAGAGTGCCACCAACGGTGAGAAGCGACCACTTAAAAGGCTAGCCAATCACTTTTTCCTTAATGCGGAAGTCCTGTATAGGAGGACCCCAGACTTGGGTCTGTTAAGATGTGTAGATGTTGCTGAAGAAACCAGATTGCTAGAAGAAATACATTCAGGGACATGTGGACCTCACATGAATGGCTTCACCTTATCCAAGAAGATTTTAAGAGCCAGATACATTTGGATGACCATGGAAAGTGATAGAATCCGTTATATGAAGAAGTGTCACTAGTACCAGATGCACTGGGATTTCATCCGGGTTCCACCCAATGAGTTGAATGTAATACATTCACCTTAGCCATTCGCCGCGTGGGGCATGCTCGTAATCGGATCTATAGAGCCTACTGCATCAAATGGACACCGTTTCATCTTGGTAGCCATTGATTACTTCACCAAATAGGTCGAAGCTTCTACATACAAAGCTTTCACATAGAAAGAAGTAGCTGATTTCATCTGTAACAACATAGTCTGCCAGTTTGGGATACCTGAGTCAGTCATCACTAGCATTGCAGCCAATATCAATAGTGATCTCATGAGGTAAATTTGTGAGAAGTTTAGAATCGTCCATTGTAACTCCACAGCCTATAGACCGCAAATGAATAGGGCAGTTGAAGAAGCTAACAAAAACATTAAAAGGATTATGCGAAAGATATTGGACAATCATAGGCTATGTCGCGAGAAATTATCCTTCGCCTTAATGGGTTATCGGATCACCATAAGGACATCCACTGGGGAAATGTCATACATGTTGGTATATGGCACCGGAGATACCATCTTTGATGGTCAGTCTGGAAGCCAAGTTAGATGATGCGGAATGGATACGGGTCAGGCAGGAGAAACTCATGCTCATTGATGAAAAGAGAATGGACGCAGTATGACATTATCAATTGTATCAAAAGAGTATGGCCAATGCATTCAACAAAAGGGTGACTGGGGTAGTTAATTTTATAGAAGAAATTTCCTCAGCAAGAAGAAGCCAAGGGAACGTTTTCGCCGAACTGGCAGGGTCCTTACGTAGTCCATTGAGTATTGTCGGGAGTAGCTTTGATCTTGGCAGAGATGAATGGAAGAGTCAGCACGAATCCTATCAACTCATATACAATCAAGAGAGACTACATGTAACAACACGGCTTGTCGTTTTGAGGTATTACTCTTCTCTCTACTATTTGAAATCTCGAATAACTTCATATGATGTATTATGATTTATATGCAAAATTTGAGGTCAATCGGACTTGATTTGCTATATTTTAACGTCGATTCTTCAAGAATACGTGGTATAACATTAATCAAATGAGCTCCGAATTCCATTTTTATTGAAGTATTAGATCCGTATTGAAATTCGGAAGCCATAGCAAAAAGAATTGTCGAATTTGGACATTGTATGAGAGAGTTATGCCCATTTCTATATCGGAAAAGATTTCCTGTCGCCGCGAGCGCCCAGGGTAGTTTGGGGCGCTAGCCCTGGCACTGGGATATTTAAGGGTAATGGAAATAGTGCCACAGGCAGTGCCCGACGCTACCTGTGACGCTCGAAAACACCAGAGGTTCTATAAATAGGGTTTTTGGCCATTTTTGACATAAAATGATATTTGAGATTCTAAGTAAGCACAAAGTCAAAGAACGAGCCTCGATTTCACAAGAATGACAAACTATTTTTTTACAAAATTTGAATGGTGCAATTTATTCCACAAAAACTTATCACATGCTTGAATCTAGAACAAAAGAACCAAACAAGTCAAAACGTTTTATGCTACAATCATGGTTCTACTATTACACCCTTGGAAAAGAACCCGGCAAAGAAACACCAAGGGGAATTCATTACTATATACAAATCTACTCTATTGGGACTAAGAGTTTATATATAAGTTTCAAAAGCCTGTCGACTACCCCACCCCCAATTTAAGAACATACAGTGTCCCCAATGCATTGAAAACAAAATAAGAACAAAGTTTAGGAGCTTCTTGGTGCACTAGGCGCTTAGTTGGGGAGCTCGGTTTGGGCGATTTTTATAGGTAAACATTGGGGTAAGTATTCCTTATCCTATATTGATTATATTTCATGATTCCATACTCATTTACATCATGAATCCGTGAATTAATGGAAGAAACATCAGATTTTTGTAAAATCTTCCAAAAATTGGTATGGGTAGACTCGTAATTGAATGGGTTGTCGGATTTTGTGAGTTTCGTCAGATTTCGAGATGTAGGCTCCATGGGCGATTTTTGAGTTAAATTTTGAATTTTGTTGGAAAATTAGTATTTTCATATGGAATTAATTTCTATGATTCGTGTTGAATATATCGAATTATTTGTGACTAGATATGAGGCTTTCGGACACGAATTCGCAATGCAAAAGTGAATTGAAATCTTGAAATTGGTTGCGAAACGAGGTAAGTGTCTTGCCTAACCTTGAGTGGGGGAATTATCCCTTAGGCATTGAGTCTTATGTGGAAATTGTGTAATTGAAAACCATGTATGCGAGGTGACGAGTACGTACTTGGTTTATATGTGCAAATTATATCGGTTGAAATTCGTAGACGCCCTTATGTATTAAATTGGAAAATTGTTGGAACTTAGTAATTTCTTGATTTGTTATGCCTTATTCCTTGTTTGTAGAATTTGTATTTTATATGATAAATTGGTGTTATTGTCACTTAGATTTTTATGTGAATTCCGTGTGTTGTTGATTTGATATTTCTCGAAAATAATCACATTATGGATTTTCATCTGCAAATAATTAATTAAATATGTTTAAATTGAGGCGTTTATATATTTATCAAAAAGTTGGATTAAAGAAGGCGTTGTCCTGTGATGAGTTATTTTCCCATCCTTGTGGTTGTTTTTGAGATTTTATATACGCTATGTGGAGCCTTGGGCTATTTATTGAGAAATTTATTGATTCTGCTACATATTTGGAATTTGTTTGTGGTCAGTGGCAAATTGTGATATGAATTGTTGTATTGTGTTGTGGTTTAAACACTCTCCTTGATGTTATTTATGCTTCCTACCGTGTTTGTCAATGATATACATGTGCTTGGTAAGGAAGAGTGTAAAGCACGAAGGGTGATGCCGTGCCATTTGAATTATGTTATCATGTGAGAAAGAGTGTAAAGCACAAAATGTGCTGTCATGCCATATTGTGAGTGTAAAGTACGAAGGGTGATGGCGTACCATTGTGAGTGTAAAGCACGAAGGGTGATGCTGTGCCATATTGTGAGTGTAAAGCACGAAAGGTGATGTCGTTCCATATTGTGAGTGTAAAGCACGAAGGGTGATGCCGTGCCATTTGAATTATGTTATCATGTGAGAAAGAGTGTAAAGCACAAAATGTGCTGTCATGCCATATTGTGAGTGTAAAGTACGAAGGGTGATGGCGTACCATTGTGAGTGTAAAGCACGAAGGGTGATGCTGTGCCATATTGTGAGTGTAAAGCACGAAAGGTGATGTCGTTCCATATTGTGAGTGTAAAGCACGAAGGGTGATGTTGTGCCATTGTGAGTGTAAAAGCACGAAGGGTCATGCCATGCCATTTCATTTATATTATCAGGTGAGGATGAGAGTAAAAGCACGAAGGGTGATGTCATGCCATATTGTGAGTGTAAAGCACGAAGGGTGATGCCGTGCCATTGTGAGTGTAAAAGCACGAAGGGTCATGCCGTGCCATTTCATTTATATTATCAGGTGAGGATGAGAGTAAAAGCACGAAGGGTAATGCCGTGCCATTATTTTTATATTATTATATGTTCATGGCACGAAGGGTGTTTCTGTGCAGGCGACGATGAGAGACATACATTATATTGTGATATCTTTTCGTTGTGTATTTATTCAGGCCTTTATCTTGAGATGTTATTGTGCACTTAGGTTTTCTATGTAACTTGTAGTCGTTGTTGCTTACTGTGTGCCTTCCACTTTATTTATTTTTCTTGTTATTGACTTTTCGCCCACCTAGTTGGTATTATTATATGTATGCACGGTGAGAAAGAGATAAATGCACGAATGGTGTTGCCGTGCCAATTGATTTGATGTATGTTGAAATTGGGAGCCTGTGGCTATTGCCAGGCGGATTATGAAAAGAAATGTGGGCGAGGTGCCGTGAGTAAATAATGATAATATTGGCACGTGAATTGTCTGTGCAGATGTGATATGAAATATGGGCACGATGTGCCATGGAAATATAATGATTATGTTATTGTCATGTGAATTGTCCGTGAAAATGTGAAATGAAATGCATGTGAGGACACGTGCTACTAGGTCAGCTGAGCAGAGACCCGCGCATTCTGCTAGAGGCTGAGGAAGGGCACGTGCCGCGACTAGAGCACCCGTCATAACAGCAGTTGAGGAGTCGCAATTAGATCCAGTTGGGGGATAGGTACCATAAGCACCTGTTGTTACCCCTAGACTTCAGGAGACTTTAGCACAGTTCCTGAATATGTTTGGTACATTAACTAAGGCGGGATTGATCTTCGTTGCTTAAAATATTTCGTAGATTGGGGGAGTAGCTTAGACTCCTACCATGACTCCAGAGGAGCAGGTTCACATTGGTTAGGTTACGGGTGTAGTACCGGTACAACCGCTTAAGCCTGAGGTCAGGCCAGAGGCATCAGAATCAGAACAAAAGAGAATTGAAAGGTTTAAGAGGTATAGTCCACCTACTTTCAGTGGCATGGCTACAAAGGATGTCCAAGGATTTCAATAAAATTGTCACCGTATTCTTCGCACCATGGGTATTGAGGAAATGAACGGAGTTGCCTTTAATACATTTCAACTGTCAGGCGCAGTATATCAGTGGTGGCAAATCAATGAAGAAGGTAGACCAGCCGATGCAACACTACCAACTTGGGCTCAATTTTCGGAAATGTTCTTGAAAGAATTTGTTCCCCAGACTCTCCGAGATGCGTGGCTCACAAAGTTTGCACGGTTGCGTCAGGGCACTATTACAGTGTCAGAATATGCTATTAGGTTCAGTAAGTTAGCCCGTCATGCACCTATCTTGGTTCCTACAGTCAGAGAACGGGTCCGCAAATTCATTGAGGAGCTCGATTATGATATTAAAATATGTATGGCTCGAGATTTGCAAACTCATACTCCATTTCAACAAGTAGTGGAGATTGCAAGGAAGATTGAGGGTGTTTTAGGCGAGGAAAGGGAGTCCAAGGAGGCCAAAAGGTCTCGAAGATCTGAAGGGTTCAGTGAATTTTACTCTTCATCTAGGACCCATTATGGCGGAGGTTC